ACCGTTAAAAAAAAAACTAAATTACAAGCTTTTAAATTTTAATTAACTTTTAATTATTCTTTACTCGCATTATTTTAAAGGTATTGTTATGATAGCTACAAACTCATTTGTAACCGTATTTTCCATATTATGGTTATACGATATATATTTTATATGATTTTTATTATTATAATTCTTAACTCTATACTCCATCATAAGTTTAAGTTAAAAACAGTAGATTTATTCTTTGTCTATATGATATAATATTAAATAATACTATTTTATACTTTTAATGTGCTAAAAATGATTTTTTAATTTATTTATCCAATTATATCAATTTATGACAATTTTAAAACTATTATATCTATGCATTTTTAAAATTATTCACACGGTATAACCTTAGATATGATGAGAAACCAATTATTATTATTGGGTGTACATTAATATCGATAATACATTTTTCATGTTTAACCGTTTTGAAATGCGTGTGCATGTTATAATGTGCTAAAAATATTCGAAAACGTGCAAAATCAAATTTCTTATTTCTCAGTATGCATTTTAATATACGAATAACCGTATAAAGTAGGTATAAATACGTTTGTATTGGGTGTTCCGTTGATCGTGACGTCTTGTCGTATAAATGTGCGCGGTACGAGTAGGTGCTTAAATCGCCGCCTTAGTTATTACTTCCGGTTAGCATAATCGCATCTTTCGCCTACATTTCAGGAAAATTAATAAAATGTATTCTGAAAAGGTACAATACGTCACCGCGTTTTGTATTGAAATTGTTGCTAGTACGAAGGTTTTTGAAGAAGTTTAATACGCGGCATACACCTACGGCATCAGCATAATATTATCGATAACTTCCAAGTCAAGCCTCTCCAGTGTAACAAATCATCATCCCCTCCCCACACCTCCGACAAGCAAAATCCCGGACACTCCACTGGACCGTTGGACCGTATATATTATGCCCATGCATCATCATTACGTGCACACAAACGGCGGTATGCTTTGTACGGACGACGTCGTAATGCACATTCGGTTGCATTGTAATACAACTGTAAATCATATAAATGATCGCGTATAGAAAGGTAAACCGACACTCGAAATATCAGGGCAGCGACGGGCGCCCGGCTGCGGAACGGGACGTTGCGCAGCAGGTGTGCGTATATTACACTGCAATAGTACAATACACGCGTATAGTACCTATGTATTATTATCGTCATCGAGGTCCTGCGACCTGCGTATTATTATTACTATTATACGAGCGATGCACCTATACAGTGCAGCGACGAGGCAACCCGACACCGGAGCGTCGACGGCGGCGGTATCTCCGCGAAGACGTCGCGTCCGCCGTCTCCGACGGCCGGTGGCGGTGACGCGTGTAACATTATTTTATATTCGGAATTCGTGCGCGATGCACTCGAAAACATAACGGGTCTCACGATTTTTTTTTTTTCCCCCCCCACCGGCGGCCGTCGTTACATTATTTTTTTTCACCCCACAACGTGCTGCGCACCGCCCCCGCACATCTGTCGCCACCACCCGCCAGCTCGCCTACTCGGGCGAGATTTTACCTGGTTTTTGTGCTCGTGTTGTACAGGTGAAACGCGCGCAAAGGTTTATTTTGTTTTTTTTCTCTTCCGAATAGGAGTACCGTTTTTCGGTGCGGTACACATATACGCGCGCGTACACTGTACGTATATACCTGTGTAGACGGTTTCGCACCCCGCCCTGCTCCTACTTAGGCCCAACTGCTGCTGCCGCCGCCGCCGCGAACCAACCCCCGCCTCGTACAGGTGTTTTCCCGACGAGATTCGTTCGCAACACGCATCGGCCGTCGTCATCCCCGCACATAAAATTAAATTGGTATTGTATTACGTGTACGCGCGTTTCCGACTACTATTGCTATACGATCGTTGTACGAATAGAAAACGGCATCATACGGAACCACGCAAACGTTTTCACACGTCTGTCTTGTTACGCGCGGGTTTTCGTATTTTTTTTTTTTTTTTTTTTAAATTCGTCTCGTTGACGAGATCGATTTTCATTCTCCGAACTCCGAAACGAGTAGGTGTGTTGTGTTGCGCGAGCGAGTGGGTACTTCGGGCTGATATCATTAATGTGTGTCCTATGCGCGTGTGTCGGTAAGTTTTCAAAACATCTTCGTCGTTTGGCGCGATGATAAAAAGAAACCCGATGATGCGACGAGCCGCAACGTCAGCGGTAATGATATTATTGTTGTTATATATACTATTTCTTAGATATTACTTCCGCGCGGAAGTCGTTCTGTTCCGATTCGAAGTAGGTATTGGAAAATAACACGCATTTTCCCATCGTATTGCGTGTACGTGTGTGTGTATTGTCTATATATATATATATATTATATATAAACTAGTTGTCCCGCACGATTTTACCCGTATACAGTTTAACACGAAAATATAAAAAAAATAAAAACGTTCAATCAGTATTAATAATTAATTTTATATTTCTTTACTCATCAGTCATTAATAATCGATCTGGAATCGACATTATAATAATTATTTTATATTATTATAACGCTTGAAATATTAAGAAAATTATGTTCAGATTCAGAATTTGCATGCACAATCAAACTTTTAATTAGATCTGGTGGATCTTCAAAATGATGTAGTACTATTTTGCCTTTAACGCAATAACAATCAGGCCTCATCACACCACTGATTAACCCTATAAAAAATGCATTTTATTATCATTCAAATAACAAGATTTTGATGATAATTGAAAACAGACTTTAGACATAAAATAAATGCCGCATTCTAGCTTTAAGCAAACGTTGCTCTTGAAGCCTTCAAGAACACATAGGCGACTTTTCTCGTTGCCTTTGATTATAAATTGGAAATATTTCTTAAGATTTGTGCTCAGAAGGTATGGCATATTAATTTATTTATTATAATTCGTGCAATAAAAAACGATAATAAATCAACAATCATAGTATTTTATTTTTCAATAATGCATAAAAACTTACTAAAAAACTTAAAACATGCCAACTACAAAATAACAAAATAATTTATTTAGCCGTGTTACCAAGGTAAATCAACAAAAATTATTATTTTTTTTCCGTAAAAAATTATTCAGGGAGGGCGCTTGAGGGGATATCGATGGCTATACAACTGGTACGCAAGGGAAATACGGAAATCGCTGAGCGAAAATTCGGAAAAATCGGTTCAGTAATTTTCTCGGTTAGCGCTGACCAACTAAAAATCACTTAGTAGGTATATAGATGTCGTAAATTCGATTTATAAAATAATATCTAACATAAATTGGAAACTATAGATCCGGTAAAGAGGGGAAAAATCAAAAAAATCGAGTGCTGACGGTTTCCGAGAATAAAACGCAATTATCTCAGAGAGACACAAAATACACTCGTCGCAGATTTTCTCTGAAAATAAAATTATATACAGCGTGCAGAGTGCGTATACGTATAATAATATACGTACGCTCGGTCGGTTCGTTATCGCGACGTTATGTTATGGCTTGGGGGGCGGGGGGGGGGGGGGGGGGGCGAGGACCGATCGCGCTAGACGACTTTGTGGAAATGTATACTTCTTCTACGCAAGTCGCAACAACACACACGGTCCATCGCTGTACGTCTTCGGTAACAAAGCGGACCCTTTGAGGGCGGGTAGAGTGCATTTACGACCATTGACGTCTGCAACGGGGTAGGTGGGCAGCTTGATGTGTCAGGGGTGGGCGGGCGCGCGCGTGTGAGTCCGTGTGTTCGCGGCCGCGTCCATGTGTGTGACGGTGTGCGTATGCGAATCGAGGGTGGCGGCGTTATACGGCCGCGGCAACGGCGACGACGCGGTCGACCGACTGCGACGCGGCGACATAGACGTCGACGCGAAATTTGTTTTTTTCGTTATCTGTCGCGTGTACGTACGGCGTACAACGACAACAACAACAATAACAATAACAACAATACGTCGTCATTATCTACTCATTTGGGTACGGTGTATAGTAATGTAGACGCGCGCACACACACACACACACACACACACAACACGAGCGCGCAGGCGGCATCGACGACGCGCGAATGCGACCGACGTCGTCGCCGCCGCCAGCAGTAGCCTAGGCGGCGGCGGCGATGCGCGCGCGCGCGCTCGCGCGACGCCTCTGCTGTCGTGCGCTCGACTCGACGCCGCCTCCGCCTTACTCACTCATCCCCCACGCCGCACGCCTACCTCTCGCTCGCACTCTCGTCCGATGTGCAATAGCTCTTTCTCCGTCGCGCCCGTTGTGCGTATCGCATTTATGTACAGTTTTTTCCTCGCTCCTCTCGCTCGCACAATACTCTCTTTCCTCTATTCTTTCCGACGCGCCACACACACACTCACATTACAACACATCCAGTTTTTTATTTATTTATTTTATATTCTCTCTCTTCCGCGAGTTCTCGCCGCACACTTATTCGCACACGATCGCGCTGCTTTCTCTCTCTCACTCACTCCTTATCGTCGCGAATACATATATATATTGTATACACTTAGCCAGAGTTCGCGTGTGTGTGTAATATTCTTTCGTATTCTCACCAAAACCCTCCCCTGACCCCCTCCCACCAATCGTACGGTACATACAACACACACACAAACACACACGCACACACGGTTCTCCACCGACAGCGTACCGACGGTGAATGGCTATTACGCCGCCCACCGACGCCGCCGCCGTCGACCGCGCTGCCGCCCGCCACCACCGCCGCCGCCGCCGCCGCAGACTACGTCAGTACTCAGTCACTGTACTCGGCGGTTAGTTAGTGAGCGAGTGCCGTCCGACGTATTGGTTGTGTGTGTTGCGTGCCGTACGTGCATTGCCGCCGTCCAAAAACGTATCGTTTTCGCGTGTGCGTAATATATTCGATTTTATCGATATACGCGCGTATCATATTATCGCCGCAGCCGCGCAACCATTTTTTTACGATTTTATTGTGATTTTTTTTTTTTGCGCATAAAATAATAAATATTTTATTACCGTGTAATAGTGATGTTTATCGTTATTATTTGCAATAATATATTATAGTAATATAGCATACACGGTCATAATATTATAATATCGTTACCGAGTGTAGAACTGTAGAGAACACACGCGTGTTCGCGACTACCGCTCTTTTCGATTGGTGGAATACATCACAATAAATACGCACGGCGTTTTGCGTCGTCCCGTCGTAACCTTTCGCCGTCATTTGCACGTCCCGGACGGATCCGTAACACTACCATATTATATTATTATTATTATTATTATTATGCAGTTGGCGCCGCAGCGCGCATGATAACGCGCCAGCAGATAACGGCGAAAAACCGTCCGACATAATATAGTGTCGCCCGGTCGTAGGGTAGCGACATACGCGCAACTATATTCTATTGTAGTTGCTGACATCACAGTAATACAATAATAATAACTGACAGCAATCGCTGCCGCTGGACGACGCGGAAAAACGACGGTATACGGGTGAGGATCGACGGACGATGACCACCGCCGCGGACAACACCGCCGACGAAGACGATCGCCGATCGGCGCCCCGCCGGCAGTGAGCTGTTTCTCGGAGAGTGCACTTGTAGCGATATCGCGCGTACGACAGACCGTGCACATCGTCGTCGTCAACACAGCGTTATCGGCAGTACCCGCGTACGCGGATTGCAGACGTCGGCGGGCGCTACCGGTTCGTACAGGTGATGTCTGCGGACGACACGTGACCGACCAGTCGCAATCGACAGCGACAACCACTGCTGCAGAGCCATTGTCAACGACGGCATAATAAATGTCTTCGTCGTCGCCCATATCGTCTTCTTCGCCGTCGCCGTCTCCGTATTACCATCACCAGCAACAGCAGCAGCAGCAGCAGCAGCAACAGCAGCAACAGCAACAACAACAGTACAACAACCACCATCAGCAGCAGCAACTCCAACACCACCTGCAGCAACAGCACTTGCACTCGGGCGGCACGTCGGCGGCCACCAACGCGGCCGTCAACTGCATTCTGCTGTCGCCGTCGGCGGGTGGTGCCGGCGTGACGGCCGTCGGACTGTCCCCGTCGCAGGGTGCCGGCGGCGGTATCGTCGAAGACATGCAACAGCAGCAGCAGTCCTCGACCGTAGCCAACGCCGTAGCGGCCACGACCACGTCGCTGCTGCAGCAATGCTGTTCGCCGCCACCGGCGTCGGGCACGTCGTCCAGCGTTAGCGGAGTGTTGAGAAAAGGTATATACACCGACCAATTTCTGTAATTGTAGTTAGGCGCGATATACGAGTTGTGTTATTATGCGATAGGCGCAGTGTAATAATATACGAACACGTATTATTATTATGTGGTCTGCGTCATTGCATAGTGTAAAATCGTATGGATTTAAGTCGTCGTCGTCGTCGTCGTCGTCGTCGTCGTAGTCATTGCGACCAGCTGTTATAATATTTAATTATAATAATATATGCGGAGCACCCGAATCGGCGGCAGCCGTTCGTGAAACGCGCGCGTAATCGATCTTCCCGCAAAAGCTAGATCCCCGCCCCACCTCCCTTCATATCGCGATGCCGTTGTAACAATACGCGTTATTACGATATAGGTTTATTACGTATAATATACGCACTTGTTTTGTATACATAGGTAGGTAAATACGAGAAAATCGCGAAATCGCGATCCCGATAATGACGTATAGGTGCGCAAAACTTGCCCAATATAATATCATGTGTCGAATAACGCGGTTTTGGGATAAGCGCGTATGATATTATAATATGAAACGTATTGGAAACTTGCAGCATTACGTTTTGTTTTCTGCAACACCTGTCGCCTCCCCGTAAGAGTATAATAATATTGTATACATTACTATCGCGTCATTTTAACATCACTAGTACCTACGTAGAGTGGTTGTGTCGAGAAACTCTCTCTCTTATTCGATATCATTATATATTATGTTATATTATCTTATTCGTATTTATATAAATATATATATATATTAATATTAATAAAGAGACGGCACGCGGAAAGAGAGGCGGCGGCGGCGGCGGCGGTGGAGGAGAATGTCCGCGAACGTTCGCCACGTCGGTTGCGTAACGGCCGTCGTCGTAACAGGCGAAAGTTTCTCCACGCGCGTTTTATATCCGGTCGCCGCCGCCGCAACAGCACGAAATATTTCTCTGCGAGTCCGAACGAGCATTGCAGCGTGTCTGTGCAAAAATCGAATACTTTTCCCTGTTAAACTCGCAACGGTGCGAATTCGCCGAAAAAAAAATATACAAATTCGGTTTAAGTTTACGCACGGACCACAGACAATGCGTTCGCTGCATCATAATATAATATTAGTAATAAAGTATATACCAAAATATATCGTACGTATAATACGTTGATACGATTGTGAAGTAATATTTTTTTTAATTTCACGTGATTTTTTCGAAATCTTTTTAACACATCGTCGCTTATGATCCCGCAACAATGGTTGTGACACTTTAAAAACTGCATCACGTTCCATGCACGATTTCCCGTTTCACAAACAAATAATATTGCATATTTGTGTACTATAAGTACATTTTATATATTTTTATTGTAACAAGGCAGTTTTCGTATAATAAACGTATGTTATTAATATTATCGCATATTATCATAATGCATGTGTAACGTCGAATCATATGGTTTTTCTTTTTCATCTTCGTTTCCTTTGCATCGTTGAAGTCAGTACTCGGCGGCGCCCGCTGCGGTTTGCGTACGTTATGATGTATAATAATATTATAAACGTATTTACGCGGAGAAAGTCTTGTCGTCGTCGCCGCCGCCGCCGCCGCCGTCGCTACCGATTGCATAATTCCGTCGGCAGCAAATGTGTTTGGAAAAAAAAAAATAAATCGTAATGTCTGTGTTCTCTGCAGCAGTAATCGCAAACGTATATAATAATATTATGATTATTATTAAATACAAAATGACTTGTGTCAGGCGGGAGGGCCCTCTCCGCAAAAGAAAAACAAATTACGCATACCGTTGATTATAAATGTTATGTATTCTATAATACCAATTATAAAATTGCATGAACGTAACTATAAGATTAAATAGTCTACTCTTAGAAAATCAAAGCTCAAAATAAGCCACAGAGTTAAAAAAGGTCAGCCGCTCGTCATTAAAAAATTATTTTCAAAAATCAAACGGAAACAATAAAATAAGTACAACATAATATTTTTACCCTTCAGTAAGCGCGTTTAATATTTTATAATTGTATCTTAGAAGCCAATATACTTTTGAAACATCATTGTTAATAATATTTTTTTCTTTCTACGTTTATAGTTAAATCACTAAATCCCATTTTGTGACGTGGTTGACTTAATGTACTTTTTAATTCTCCGCGTACGAAAAACAGAACCAGTGATTATATTCCATACAATATTTTCGAGCTTCGCTACGATCGTTTCTTTAAAACCCTAAAACGACCAATTGCGCATCAGAAATACTAGCATGATAATATTTATATATAGTTACGAATTGTTTTTTACATTTTGAACACACGACAAAGTTTTCTCTTGCTAGTTTTTGCAATGTTTCAACTCCTCTTCCCCTCCCGTGTACACCGGTAATAGTACTATATTACTATTTAAGTTGTATTTTTATATAATCGATACGTATATACATTAAACGGTATCAAACACAATTCGCGAGAGTTGTCACGGGCAACTCCGTCAAATTTTGAAATCTTGATGACTCCGCGAGGAGTTGACGCTAAGTCGATGCAATATTATTAGTATTGTTGTTATTGTTGTTGTTACTATTATTATTATTACTATTATTATAGCAGCGGGGCGCGCACAGCACGAAAATGATATACTTGGCCGTATACAATTCGGAATGATTGTAGTAAAATAATGTACGACGACGACGACGACGATGATAATAATACTATGATAATATTATTATACAGCGGGTTTCGCCTTTTCGCGCGGATAATCAACCGATTTTTCGGACGCTACGTTCGACGCCGCCGTCACCGTATAATATTACGGTGATGTGATAATTATTACAACGCCGCGTGGGCGTTGTATTATTATTAACCACCTTGGAACGGTGGCGGCGACGAGTGCGTGAGACCGCAAAGCGCTCAAAGCCGTAAGTTTTCCTCGAGGTTTTTTGTTTGTCCGACGATTAAAACTGTCGCAGTTACCACGGAGACAATAATAGCATACCTGTTTAAGTAAAACATTATCAACGATCCCTTGAATGCACTTACAATCGGAAAATCATAAAAAAATATTTCACGAACGGTATATAGTTTGTCTATCTTCTGCATATTATTATTTTAATATGCAAGTATACGACATACGTGCACGTGGAACGGGCCCGCGTATTAAAGGGAAAGAAATAAAAATAATAATAGTAATGGATATATTATACATTATACGACTGCAGCGATCCGTAGTCGTCGTTCTCGTCATTGTTGCTGCAGCCAGCGCGCATGTACATTTTATTACCGTCACATAATATAATACAGTTAGTCGCGTACATTATATTGAAAACGTCTTACCCAAATATGTATAGGGTAAGACCGATGAGATTATTGCTCTGTAAGGGTTAATATAATATAACCCTGAAGTCGTTTAGTCGTTTACAGTCCCTTCCAACCCCACCACTGGATGGTTCGATTTACAGCGATCGTATATACCGTGGTATAGACGCGTGCAGATCACTACCTGCATATCGCGCGTTCTCCCCTCAACATCAAGTGTGTCACGCAGGACGTTTTTCGGGAAAACATTTATTATACCGCGTAATCGGTTGTATAGTTTTACAGTCGGTTTTACGACTCCGTCATTGGTTTCCGGCCTTGCAGCGTTCTATAAGTAGTTATAATAATATGTCTAAAATTATTTAATAATTGTGCGCGAGGTAAGAGCGTGTGTTACGATGTTGCGCGCACTCGCGCGTCAATATTATAATGTGCGAAAGAAAAATAATATCATACGATCGTGGGGCGTAGGTGTTGTATGTCATTGTAAAACGTACATTACATAATGTAATACAATACAGTTCAAAGATGGTCAAGTTAATAAAAACAATTTAGTTTTGTGTTAATTAAATCATAATTTAATAGTTTATAAGAAATATATTCGATTCATTAAGTTTAAAGTTAATACGGAGAAAAATATAAACCTTACTTAGTTATAAAGAGTTACCTAATTGACTTTTTTTTCATTTGGGTCAAACATATATAGAGATAACCTGTGCAACATAATTTTTTTTTTTTTAATAATAATTAAATATTATATTAAAAATAAATCCTACTATAGACCTTCTTATTAAAACATTAAATTACTAGTGGTTATAGTGGTTTAGAAAATTGTTAAAGTGTAGAGTGAGGGTGAGCGAGCAGTCGTTGGACGAACGCAAATGGTTGCCGGTCGGTTTCCTCGAGTCATATCATTTTATAACAAAGCGATAAGTGTTCGCTACAAGAACGCTCCGCCGGCGATCGTAGATTGTAATAATATTTTACGGTTGAAAGTAAGGTTATTCATCGTCGTCGTTTTCCGCAGCCTTTATACTGTTTGTATTATACTCGTACATATAGCACTATACCCACTTTTAGGACGACCAAAAAGGTATAGCTTGCGCGTTTAATGTTTCCACGATATAACTTTTATCTATTACGATTTTTCCTTTATAAATTTCTTATTCGCGTTTTACGTGTTGTATTACACTGTATCACGAATCGACAGAGGCAGATAATGTTGTAAAATGTTCATATTACAATATTCGTGCAGCGGGCGAGGCAAAAAAAAAATTAATAATAATCGTATGGATATAAATAAAATATTTAAAAATAAATGCGCTCACAATGCTCACATTCTATGGGGTCGAATCAGAGGTGAGCTTCGCTACCCCTAACATAGGATGGGGAAGATGAATTGTTTTTTAAGGTGTATAACCTTTCTGTAGTTACCTCACCATTACAGTGTATTTTCTTTATTCATTTATTTATAATATTACGTGAGTCGTATTTACCTAATAAAATATGAATGACAAGAATGCATACATATATACACTCACTAACGGTCAACGTGGACGGTAAAAAAAAAAATAGTTTCCAGTTTAATATTAATGTGGCGACGGCACTGTAAAAACCTCGTTTCGCATAAAATATATTATATTAACATATATTTTAAAAATGTGTAATATTGCAATAATATTTAGTTACAGGTAAAATTAATTTATAATATTATTTATCGTTCAA